CAAATCGACGCCAGTATACAGTGGTAGGGGACCAATGCAGCACAATAGAGGAAATCAAATATGGTGTTCCTCAGGGGTCAATTCTGGGACCATACATGTACTTACTTTACATTAATGATCTTAGCCTATATAAAATACATGGTAAAATGCTTATGTATGCAGATGACTTGGCAATTTTTTACAAGAACGAAAACAACAAAGACACAGAAAGTAAAATTAAACAAGACTTAAATACAATAAAAAAATGGACCAATCTAATCAACTTACCCTAAATCATAAAAAATGTCACTTTATAAACTTTGAATCCAGAACAAGAGAACATCAAATTAACATCAAAATCAAGGAGCCACTAAAGGAAGTTAAAACAATCAAATACCTGGGACTACACATTGACAATAAACTAAACTGGAAGCAACACATACATAAACTAAATGAATCTCTCTCTTCATACATATACCTAATGAACAAAATAGCAAACACACTTCCTCTTAAACAAAGAATCTTAGTCTATGATTCCTATATTAAGAGTCAATTGGCATACCTCATACCTTTTTGGGCAACAGCAAACGAAACCGCTAAAAAATCGTTGCAGCGAAATCAAAATAAAATATTAAAGATTATGCACAAAATGGACAAATACATGCCTACTGAACAACTTTATAAGATCACCAAACAGCTAAATATCGAAGAGCTTAGACAACTAGAAACCCATAAATTAGTGCACAAGATCATAACAAATAAGATACTGGATGAAGAAGTAACATTTAGAAAAAGAGCGGACACACATGAACATAATACAAGAGGACGTGAACAAATAGACATAGAAAGAGCCAAAACAAAATATGGAGAAATGAAAATAAAACATCAAGGGTACAAACTATACAACAAATTACCAGAGAATATAAAAAACCTACCCGAGACGACTTTCAAAACCAACTTGAAGACTTTTATTTTGAACCAAAGAATATCTACTTAATATATTAACTTATTTATTATTTATCATATAAATCCAATATTATATATTATATATATTTACATACTTATTTATTTATTATATTTATACTTATCTGATATTATCGCTACTGTGATATTTAGGATGTACTTTTTTTAAATAAAAAAAAAAAAAAAAAAAAAAAAATTAGTTCCGGGTTCCCGTTTATAGAATTCGATGAAATTTTTACTGGGAGTATATAAACAAGTAATAAATATAATTAGAGGGTATGCGTAAAAAAATAAAAATAAGGAACACCCTAATGCACACTTTTAATTCTCCAATTAAAACTTGCGATTTTATTTAAATATTATCATAACTTTTTAAATCAGATTAAAGATTAGTTAATTTCCTAAAAAAAGGTCTATACATTTTTTCTATCTTTTACTGTTTTGTTGTAATACACGTTTAAAGTTTTAATTTAAGGTTAAATGTATAGTATACATTTATTAAACAATAATTCTAAGGGTGCCACATTTTATTTAGGGCCGATTTATTCATTTTTGATTTATTTGACGAATAATTTCTTTGGATACTAGATATTGCCAAGACATGAAAGTTATCGGCCCGATAAACTTTACTAAAGATAAATAAACCGGTCCTTAGTTAAATTTTATGAATTTCTTCGTAACTTTTACTACAATTTTTCATTTTTGTTTATAAAAAACACTTTAAAAAACTAAACAAAAATTATAGAATACGTATACTGAAAATGACAATTCAAACATCAAATAAATTTTTAATAGATCTAAGTTTCATGTTTAAACGTTTGAACGTTTATTGCAACAAAACAGTAAAATATTTCAAAAAAATTGTAAAAACCTTTTTTTTAGTTATGCAGATATTAAATATTTAAATTAAATCGCTAGTTTTAATTGGATAATTGAAAGAGTGCATAATATTTTTAATAAACAGCCAATTAAAACAATTCAAACCGTCAAATTTTTTTTATTTTGCTCTTAAAATTTTAGTTATGACCTAATTAACAAGAATATAAAAAAAATTAGGTTTCACAGAAAGTCCAAAAATCACCTCTCAGAACAGCACCGTGTATAAGTATATATATATATATATATTGATGGTTTTCCGGGATCTACTCCGTGTTGTCGGTTTTTGGTTCTTAAAAGAACCGTATGTTTGACGACGTTTCGGTACAATCTCATGTACCATCTTTAGTTCTTATTTGCTGGGCTGCTGTTGCTGCTCTGCTGCAAGTTCATACATATAACGTCAGTGGAAACCTAAAGCAGCAGAGTAGCAACATACGGTTCTTTTAAGAACCAAAAACCGACAACACGGAGCAGATCCCGGAAAACCATAAATGCATATAACGTCCGTGGAAACCTAAAGCAGAACATTGATCTCGTTAATTTGCGTGGCGTTTTGGTGGTTGTAAGAGCTTTGGTTGTCGCTTTCACGTAAGGAAGGAAGGCCTTCGAAGTTGGTTTGACAGAAAGTCCAAAAATCACCTCTCAGAACAGCACCGTGTATAAGTATATATATATATATATTGATGGTTTTCCGGGATCTACTCCGTGTTGTCGGTTTTTGGTTCTTAAAAGAACCGTATGTTTGACGACGTTTCGGTACAATCTCATGTACCATCTTTAGTTCTTATTTCCTGGGCTGCTGTTGCTGCTCTGCTGCAAGTTCATACATATAACGTCAGTGGAAACCTAAAGCAGCAGAGTAGCAACAGCAGCCCACCAGATAAGACCTAAAGAGGGTACATGAGATTGTACCGAAACGTCTTCAGACATACGGTTCTTTTAAGAACCAAAAACCGACAACACGGAGCAGATCCCGGAAAACCATAAATGCATATAACGTCCGTGGAAACCTAAAGCAGAACATTGATCTCGTTAATTTGCGTGGCGTTTTGGTGGTTGTAAGAGCTTTGGTTGTCGCTTTCACGTAAGGAAGGAAGGCCTTCGAAGTTGGTTTGTTTTTCTCGTCATCTGTGGAATTTAACCTGCGTCGTGGTCTAAGAGCATTTTTGATGATGGTTTTAGAGAATCCGTTTTGCTGTAGCGTCGTTTGGATTTTCAGGTCTTCTTGTTTCTTGTGGTCATCATCCGCCAGCCTTTCAGATCGCGTGACAAGTGTTTTAGTGACTGACTGCAGTTGTGACGGGTGGTGGTAAGAATGGGCGTGTGCCCTAGTTTGCCATTATTTTTCTTGATTATGAAGACATCCAGAAAAGGTAATTGGTGTTCTTTCTCGCTTTCCATTGTGAACTTAATCTTTTTGCGAATTCCGTTGAGATGGTCCAGAAATTTCTTCAGTTCCGCTTCTCCGTGGGTCCTGATGATAAATGTGTCTTCTACGTACCGTAGCCATAACTTTGATTTTAGTGTTGCCGTTTCGATTGCTCGTACTTCTATGTCTTTCATGAATAAGTTGGCTATTGCTGGCGATATTGGAAAATTGACTTTGAAAAACAAGGGTCTTGGCTAGCATCGAATACAGAACCAAACGTACCATTCTTGAAGCCATTAAAATAGAAAAATGTCCAAGAAACCTCAACACAAGAGGCGATACACTAAGACTAAGCTTACTGTTGCGCATTAATTTATAAAAAAAATACATTTAAGTGTATATCTATATACACAACGGCTACATGCGCGATTTGAATTTTTCTTACAAAGTAAATCTAATAATATCACTATATAAAAAAAATGTTTGGAATCTAGATTATATATTTTTTAAGTTAAAAACGCCTAATGTACCAACGTGGTGTTGCAGCAAAATTCACACTCTGCAGAAATTGCCGCCTTTGACCACTCAAGGTGTGATTTTCTATTTCTTTATTTTATAGTTTAAATATTGGTATCAATGATATCAAGGTCAAAACTTTTTTGTTATGACTCAATTTATAAGGATTCAAAACCTTAAATTAATATAAAAATAATTTCATAAAATAAATATTCATATCAAAATTCTTCTTTACAATTATTGTTAAGAAGACTAAATATACCTAGTCTTCCTGCTTTTTAATAAAGAGTTAAGCCCGCTGCACAACAGCCCGGTAACGGGAACGGAAACCTAAACGGTAAAGGACAGCGAACCATATCTATCAACAGTGGTTTTTTAGTCTCCCCCACCTTTAATGTTAAGATTCCCGTTCCCGTTACCTATTGTGCAGCGGGCTTTACTGTTAGGAACGGAGAAATGGTAGCTCTTTCCTGCATTATTATTTAATTAATTAATTATGCAGGAATTAAATAGTTAATTTTAATCTTACTCTTAATTCAAATAAAATGCATTTAAAAAAAATTCTAAATTAGTGGATTAAGTTCGCGCTCCGAAATAATTTTTAGTTTTAAATGTGTCATTGAGGGAGGTTTGTACAGATGTGTCAAGGGGAGGGGGGTTAAAATATTTCAGTGTGATGTTTATGTGCACGACCAAAGGACGTATAGAGACAGGATGTTTAACTATACTTGGCCACGTAAAAAAACGTGCCGTATAGTGTCCGAGTTGTAGGCGTGGTTAAAGCTCACTCAATTTTCGACTGAATAATCAAAATTCTTTTAATTTAATCTTTGTGGTTAGAGAAACACGATTTTTGGAAGAAACAGATTAAGTCCTGCCTTTAAAAAATTGTCGGGGTTAAAAAGCGAAAAAACTTTTTTTGGGGTACTTTGACGCCAGCTACTTTTTGAATTTTTCTTCCTAGAGCATTGACCCAATGATATAAATTGCAGGGGACAATTATTTATATATTAAATTTTAACGGTTAGTTTTTGAGAAAAAAAAACACCTCAACCCACAGGGGGTAGGATCCCACAAAGTAAAGGTTAAGCTTTTGCCACACGATTCATGCAAAAAATAATAAAATTGTCAAATTTTTCCGAAAACACCTTTTTTAAGACAGATTGACCACTAACAGATTTTATGACAATTTAAAAAAATGATATGTTTATTTTACTTAAAGGATATTTTTTAATTTAAATAGGTATTTAGGTTAATCTTAATGTGTTAATTATTGCAAATGCCTTTTTTTAAGATTCCGCCACCACCACCCCGTCCAAATTTTGACGCCTCTCGTGAAAAGCTGCAAAGATTGGGAGAGGGCGAAGGAACCATGACAAAAGAAGAGTTTACAAAAATGAAACAAGAATTAGAAGCGTAAGTAATAAAACTAAAACAAAAAATATGAGATACCGCGAAATAAAATTTCAATAAATCTAATTTGTTGGTGTCTGGTTTGCTTTAAATGCTAACATATTTTCCCAATTATAGGCATATAAATAAAAAAAAATGTAAACCGTATTTTTTATTATATTATTAATTAATGGCATATGTTAGTAACATAATGTTACACAATCTGATGATTTAAATAATATTTTTTCCAATAAATGTGATAAGGCTAGTTTATTCTAGTTTAATTATATTTTTATCAACTGTTTTGTAGGTTTTACCACTGAAATAAATATACATATATTTTTAAGAAATATGTAATGATAAGAATAATTAGGCTTTTATAAGTAAACAAGTATATAAAAAAAAACAATTCTGAAAATGCATAACTCTTCTAACAAAATGTCAATAACGAGTTTAAAATGGAGTGTGTAATAAATAAAATTTGTTTATTTTGTTTATGATTGCTGTTTTTTGTTTGGAAATAATTTTACGTTTGTAGAGTTTTGTTTATTTTGTTCTGTTGTAATGCATTAATATATTAAAGTACAGTGTACCTAGGCGGTTTTCTGTAGGGGCTAGGGATAGTTGTAATTATGAATTGTCGTTATACAATATAATTTGCGGTTAATTTGTGTGAACAAATCTTTTAAAATTTATTACTTGCAGACCATTTAAATTATAATTATAATTTTTTTGTATTTGCTAACCAGGGGACCAATAAACTAGTGTTGCTCTGGTAGCAAGCCTAGACTTTGGTTTAGGGTAGCAAGTTAGCAGTTTTACTTTGAAAGCCCTTACCATTTTGCCTTGGCGTATAGTAGCATTTTTGAGTACAAGTCTGTCCAGAGAGCTTGAGTGCTGAGGAAATTCAGTTTATGTTGGATGTTTGTTTTCTCCTGTACAAAGCTGTATATTAGGTAGCTGTGGAGATATTCTAGTCTGTTTAACTATTACTGACCCTGCCATATACAAAAAGTATATACTGGAGTAAATGTTTTAAGGAACGTAAATATTTAGTTATATTTCTATATTAAATTAAAATACAGTTCAAGTTCTAACATTAAAGATTTATTTAAAAATTGCGCCTACGATATTTAGGACTAACATATGTTATGGTATAATAAAGGTTAATTATCCAATATGTGCCATTAATTTTTACAAAAATTGCAATGTTTCATTCACAAATATAGTGACGTTCCTCTGCCATGCCGTTTCTATGCTTTTATATTGCTGATGTCGCTGCAATTGTAAGGTGCAAGGCCTAATTTTTGTTCGAATTAAAATTGAGATAGGAAAAAGTGATGTTTTTTCAATGGGATACAGTACAAAAAAGTTTTGGATATGAAAAATTGTTGTCATACTGAAAACGTGCTTTCCCTCCAAGCAAGTGATATACGTACAGTATACAGAGATATAGAGGGGGGAGAAGAAGCTTGGACCATTGTGTATCCAATAGACCTATTCCATAAAACGGACTTTTGGATAGCGCGTGCGTGAAAAGGCACCTCGTCCTTTTTTTAATTATAAAAGAGAAAGAGATACCACTCTTCTTCAGGCACGCGCTATCCAAAACTCTGTTTTATGGGATAGGTCTATTTTATGGCGACAGTTCTTGATTTAATGGTATTTAATGGAACACCCAAGTTCTCTTTTAAATGGTGTACATTTTGTTTTTAAATGTCCAAATTTTACATTTAAATCTTAACTTACCAATAGTCTAGTATAGGAAGTTTTCTTGATCATGAGTTTATTATTCTAAAAACTGTCAAAGACAGTCAAAGCAACGGAAGTTCTGCGACATAACGCTACACAGATTATAAAAGAACACACAGAGGGGAAATTGTAAAAGAACAATATTTAGAAATTCAAGAAATCACAGAACAACTTTTATTAAGTGGCGGCCCGTGACATTTCATTTTGGTGAGGCGAAGAAATTTTTTTAAACCCAACTTAAAAAAACCGACGTCGCAGTTCACAACCTATACTTAAAACTAAGTAAAAAACTTACTTACTTTGTCAATGAAATATATTTTATTGTAAAAATGACGTTTATTTTAAATAAACCTCATTTTTGTCTAATTAATATTTTATTGTTCACCAAGAACCACGTGAAGGTCAACAATATCGGTACAATTTCTCACCGTAATATCCATAATGACTAAATTCACATAAATCACCAAGTTCAATTAACTAAAGCCACAGAATAAACCACTTACAAAAGAATCATAAAATAGACAAACTCATAGAAAAAGAATAAACAAAATATTGCGTAAATAACCACAGATTTGTTCTTTAAACAGTTCAGAATTTTATAACCAAAACAAACCTGTTATGGCTACAAGATGGCGATAGTGTTAAAATATGTTTATTTTAGAATAGAAATATAATTTCGATTAAATCGATTTATTATAAGAAAAATATTACCATTTATTATTGAATTTTGAAAAACGTGTGAAGTATAATCTTTCTAAAATTCCGCAACAGTGTTGCCACAACACCTGCTTATTTCCTTGGATGTAGGCGTGGCTGCCTTGCGTATGCTAATACGAAAGAAGGAGACAACTATGATATCGAAATAATTTAAATGTTGCTGGGTATTCCACGTATAAAATCAATCAATTTTATTGACTATTTCACAATTCATGTAATCCAAATATTAAAAATTTATAGTATATTCTAGAAAGTAAAATATTTAAATTATCCTTAATTTTTAATTCTCTATGATGAGTCACTGCCTCACCTGCCTCCCCTGACGGGCCGCCACTGCTTTTATTGGTTGCGCCGCGCAACTTGCAACTTGGTTTGATTTCAAAAACATGCAAGGCGCAGTGTGCATAGGTAGGTAAGAGACATTACATTACATTACATTTTCCAGCACAAAGGTGGCCACATATTTACCAAATTAGCATTATATTCTACAAAAACAATTCAGTGTAAAAATAATGGTATGTAATGACACAAAATGGTACATAAATTGACGATGGTACCACAATCCACACAACAAGGTCTGTTCTATCTCATGCTAAAAATACTAAAAATCACTGCAACACTCATAGATGACCGAAGGCAACACTGCACAAAGTTTAACGGCGGCCATTTTTGTTGTATACAATTCTTGTGCTGTTTAATAATTGTTTTAAACGTTGTTTTTCTTACAGAGGCACTTGTAAGCCTCAAATAAGGCCTTTAAGTGCTAAGGACAACCATTTTACTCCTCTTTTATAATAAATATACCTTATTCTATCAGGGCTGTCAAATGACAATTTGAAGGTTAATTTGTGGATTATAATTTAACCTTAAAATTGACATTTGACAGTTTTATGACAGCCCTGATAGAATAAAGTTTATTTTTTACAATAGAGAAAATGGTTGTTTTTAGCACTTTAAGGCCTCTTTTAAGGCTTACTATGAGAAACACAACGTTTAAAACGATTATTAATCTGTATAGAGCACAAACCCAAAGCACAAACATTGTAAACAACAAAAATGGCCGCCGTTAAACTGTGCAGTGTTGCAGTGATTTTTTGTATTTTTAGTACGAGATAGAACAGACCTTGTTGTGTGGATTGTGGATGGTACAATGTACAAAAAAATGGTATAAATACCATTATAATGGTACGACTGGCAACACTGCTCATGGCTGACATTTTGAACTAGATGTCGATAATATAGACTTCTCTGATCTTTGATTGGCAAGCTTAATAAAAAATAAATAGATGACGCCTAGGGTGAGCCAAAAAAACTAACCTATCGGATTTATGGGTTAAAATGAACCTACTTACCGAGCAAAAAATTTCCCTGCAAGGCAAAATTTTTTGCTCAATTTTAAAAGGTGTCGGTGAGCATTTTAAGTTTTCCATTGAAATAACACGTAAAAAAATCTTTTTTCATTAAAAAGACTATAACTTTTGAACCGTTTGAGATAAAATTTTTTACGTCGCGGATTCTTGTAGAGCATAAAATTTCCCAAAGAATCTATACCAGGATTATTTTTTTTAATTCAAAAATTCGTATGTTTGAAAGCTTTGAAAAGTGTAAAAAATCACTAGAACTGCAGTTTTAGTGATTTTTTACACTTTTCAAAGCTTTCAAACATACGATTTTTTTAATTAAAAAAAATAATCCTGGTGTAGATTCTTTGGAAAATTTTATGCTCTACAAGAATCCGCGACGTAAAAAATTTTATCTCAAACGGTTCAAAAGTTATAGTCTTTTTAATGAAATAAGATTTTTTTACGTGTTATTTCAATGGAAAACTTAGAATGCTCACCGACACCTTTTAAAATTGAGCAAAAAATTTAGCCTTGCAGGGAAATTTTTTGCTCGGTATGTAGGTTCATTTTAACCCATAAATCCGATAGGTTAGTTTTTTTGGCTCACCCTAATGACGCCACTGTCGCTTGTTATTACCACACATATACCGCCTATTCCCTATATTTTGAATAGCTGACCTTGTTCCCGTTTTTAAGGGAAGGCTGGCTATTCTCTACCTTTTGCGCACGTGCAGTTCAAAAGTGGGAGATTAAAAAATCAATAATGTTTGTTGGTTTTGAATAAATACAAATGTCAGTTTAGGAATTTAGGTTATATTAAAAAAATATTAGAAAACTATAAAATGCGAAATGTTTTGCTTTAAAAGTTATTATATTTTTGGTCAAGAATTGGGAATGGAGAATTGTATGGGATTTGAAGTTGTATTTTTAATAATTCTTTAAGTGCCCATGAGATTAATAATATTGAGGGTGTGGATGCTACATCATATCCTCTGTGCTTTACATACCTGAGTTGTTATGCCCAAGTAGCAAAGGGTTGCCACCGATAATGCTTTAAAGCCGTATTACAGCCGGCAATTCTTCTTGCAGCAATTTTTCTTGCAGCAATTTTTCTTGCCATCTAGTTTTCAAGGCCGTCTTGCATGTTGTTTTACAGCCGGCAATGGCAAGAAAACTTGCTGTTTATTACCGTGCTATCAACCGAAGAAAAAT